ATGTATAAAATGAAATAAATAAAATTATTATATAAAATTATAAATTATATTTATTATAATAAAATTACTAGACAAATGAAATGAAAGTAACGCTTCCAAGCCCTTCTAATCTAAAACCACTAGTATGTAAGAGAGCGATTACAAATCTCTGCTAAAATCCAGTCCTACCAGAGAACAGTAAAACTTAAGTAAAGCGCTTATTCCTTACCCCCAAAAAACTTGGTTTTATACAATATTACCTCCTTGGAGCCTCCCACAAAGAAGGAGAGAGGAGGGCAAAAACTAAAATAGTAATATGATTAATAACAACAACAACAAAGTTTTCCTCAGGTGTAGGATTCTGAGGGAGGGATCATGGCCGCACCTGTGAAATGGTCCACCAGCCTCTCCACTGAGGTGGCAGGAGAGAAACAGCCTCCCCCCCTTACAAAAAAGGTGGTTTACTTACTCATTTTTGGGGGGCTGTGTGGTTGTGGGGTGCTTGGAGGGGGCAGGTTATGAGGGGGAGAAGCCCCAAGAAGCATCCTCGCCTTGCCCAGGCCTCCTGCATGAGGCGGTGGTGGAGAAACAAGGCCACGAGGCACACCTGTTTCAGGTGAGGGAAGGGGGCTTCCCTTAAAGGAGAGCAGCAGCAGAGCATGCTGGGAGTTGGAGTCCAACAGGCCGACTCCCAGGCTCCAAAAGCGGGCAGGTGGCTGCTTTTCCATGCAAGGGGGTTTTCTGCTCCAGCCCTCCAGGGTGGGCCCCAGAAGCAGCCCCCCCCCGGCTGCATCTACGATCAGGCGGGGAGAAGTTATTTCTGGGCGATATTTCCCAGAATCCCCCACCCGGTGTGGCACCCCGGGGATTCTGGGAGTCGTGGCCTTCAGCAGGGATGGCTCACCCCTAAATTTCAGCATTGGGGGGGACAACCCACCCCCAATGTCCAGCCTTTAGGTGCCAGTGAGTTTTAGACACACCGGTTCCTTGGTTTTTTCAGGAAGTTCTCCCCCCCCCCCCGCAAGGTGGTTTGTGGTTTTTAAAAAGGAAAAATAATTTTGCAGGTGCTCTTTTTCTGACAAGCCAAATCTAATGAAATGCTCTCTCCCTCTCTTTTTTTGCACAGCTATTCAAGCTGAAGAAATGCTGTTCTTCTCTGCACAGACACCCTACACAGCACAACACCCGTCGCCCAGCATCCTGGAAAATTCAAAATGTAAACTCGAGGGCTGTCTCCTGAAGATAACTTTTGTATTTCTTCCAAACTGGCCCACGGTCCAAGGCCCCTGCTTGCTAAGCTTGGTGCTAATTGGGGACTGTGTGCATTTCAGAGCTTGGACAGACGGGATCAAACCCACAAAGTCGGCTTCTTTGGTTGCGACCTCACCGTAACGGGGAGAAACCGCACCCTCCAAAATTCGCCCGTGTGCGGCGTTTCCGAAGGCAAGAGGACTCCGATCGCAGAGCCGGCAAGCCTCCCGTTTATTCCACTGCCACCCAGCTCTCTCAGACATGATAAAAGGGGGCTCCCTTCCCTTCTTTTCCTACTCTGAGGTACCAATTAGCTACCTGATCTAATTACAGTAATTGCCAATACATATTACACGTCTTACTTTGCAACAAATCCAGCTGCTAATTTCTTGGCAGCCTCAGCCGCTCCGCTTCCCGCGATTCGGCAAGAGGAAGCCTCAAGCAACAGAGAGACAGACGTATCTTTCCTTACTCCCGGTCCCGTGCCTGGGCTTTGAACAGCAGCCTGATCTGCAGAAATCCAACAGGTAAAGCCTCTGCAGCCTAACAATTCAAGATAAAAATGTCAGAAAGGAGGCTGGACTTTTGCAAATCAA